AATATTTTAAATGTTAATTATTGTAATATTTTAATATTTAATAAGAATTTATTGTGATTAGACGGACAAGATTTAAATAAATCTCTGATTGTCAAAATGCTGAACATTCCGATGGCACGAAGCTCCATCAGAAATGATGCGGGGATTTCCAACTACCCTGTATTTTACAAAATGGTGTAGCCATTTTCACAGAAACCTTTGCAGGTTATACCAACATCCTGACCATCGTCATGGGCTTGCCTTTGGATAGAATCATGGGTTAAATGCTTTGCCCTGGAACATCGTCACAGCAAACGACTGTCAGATTTTTTGGCAAGGTTTGAACGCTATTAAATTAGCCCTTTTTGCGATCCAAGATTGTTTGACGATGCCAAATGTAAATTCGTGTTCAAAATAAGCCCAGTATCTTTCATAACAACCTCAATTTTTGTAAAATAATCATTGACAATAAAATGATTTAGCTTCGTGGCTACCCCTGGTTGTGATTTATCCATCGAATCCTAAGATGTCGCTTTAGGAAAATGTTACGTCATATTCTTCCAGTCATTCCTCTATCTTAAAGAAAATTTATTCAAAATACAAAATTTAATTAAGCCTTATAACACAAATATTTTATTAAATGCTCGTATGTTATGTTAAAAAATATAAATTATATTAAAATTAGCCACGATGGGAGAATACTAATTTTTAAATAAGTAATAAAATAACAAATTTACATAGATTCAATCAACAAATTAACTAAGACCATTAGAACACATTATTTAGTTAAAACGTTCAAAGAATTCTAAAATTGCATTCGGTGTCCCAAGTAAGACCACGTAAGATTTGAGCTTTTCACGGCGATGAGTCTGAGGATTGATGTCGTCTGGATTGTTGCACCGTGTAGTATGGTAGATGTTTACCGACGTTTCAGAGGTCCTTAGTGCCTCTGTATCAGGACTTATCGTCCTGATGATAGAGACAGCACGTCACAACAACCCAGAAGACACCCACGTTCAAGTACGAAAATGGTTACGTCTCACATCCCCTCAACATCTTCACAAACCAAGATGGTACATACACTTTCGAAAAATTCCCCTTTTGATCTTCGGAGTATATTTTAAGACGACATTCGTGGAACAGCAGTGCTCTGTAGAACGTAGAATCCTCGTCAGTCTATCAAACAACAGACATCAACTTTTGCCACTAGGTGGCACGTCGGCCAAAGGAACTGCTGCTACCTAGCGCTTACACTATCAACTATTATAAACCAACATGGCTGCCTTCTGGGTTGTAGCGCCGCGTAGAGTCGTAGAAGTTACGTCTCATCGCCCCGATGATGGAGACAGCAGTAACCTCTTAAACTTTGATAAACGTCTGCCAGACTACGCGGAAGACAGCCATCTTCGACCTCACCGCCGTGAGATCCTCAAATTCTTTTGTAAAATCTAGTCCTTGCCCTTACTGATATAGGCTAGGCGATATTGTCAGATTTGATTGGATTTTCTTACGAATTTAAAAGCACGAAATGTGTGAGCTTGCAGACAATAATCCTAGCTAGCTAAGTCACGTGGTTGTATAATTTCGAACTGAGTCCGACGTTTAAAAATACAAGTTCCGATCCGATGTCGGACCGAGTCCACGTATTTTACGAATTTTTTTACGTGATCTGGAGTCAAACTGAGGCTGGCAAACAGTTTCCGTTTTATTATGACACGTGTCTAAAAAAAAGCCAGGACTCCATACCAAGTATTTTGTTATACGTCACATAGCGAAGGAATCCCATCGGGTGTGTAGATGTCATATTTACTTAGAATAGGAATATTTTATTTCTGATGAAGTTATAAAAGAAATATCCCATATTCATAGTAGGAAATTATATATTTTTTTAAATTATTTTTAATTCATAGAAAAATCTACCACTCACATATGCATGGCGCTGAACGTGATCTTGAACTTTCGAACACAATCAGCGGGAAAGGACGCGTAGCTCTGATACTAAGAAATCCAATGCTTAATCGTCTTATACGAGGTGCGATCGGAAAGTTTCAAGACTGCGCCTATAAAAACCCGTACACTTATCTCAGGTATTAAATTCATCCATCACCCTCGAAGTAGTTCCCCTGGGAGTGAACACAACGATCCCA